AACCGTCTTCGGTTTGCTCCCAACATATGCCATAAAGCTGCATGTGTTTGTCGCACAGATTTCGGAGCCGTGCTCCCAGCGCCTCCTGGTTCCTCCTGGGTGCCGACCATGCTGCCTTGCTGGGCACGGCAGCCCCCCGGTGCTGCCCCCCGGGCCGTGCCGAGGCTGCGGGAGCCGCGGAGACCCTCCGAGCCTGGGGACTACCGGCTCGCTGCCCTGCTCCTGGGTATGGACTGGTGCAGGGCGGGGGGGGAATGTGGATGTGGGAGGGCTGCAGGCTCTGGATGCTCCGAGGGGTGGGTGCTGGTCCCAGCCCCTCGCAGCGGGGGCTCTGCCCCAGGAGGGGTTGGGTGGCGTGGGATGAGGGATGATTGCAGCCCCTCACAGGCAGGCCCTGCCCCAGGAGGGGATGGATGGCCTGGAGTGGGGGTGATCCCAGCCCCACAAAGGTGGACTCTGCTCTGGGAGGGCATGGGTGGTGTGGGCTGGGTGATGATCCCAGCCCCACACGGGCGGTCCCTGCCCTGGGGAGGGCACAGATAGCCCAGCCTGGGGAGGGTCTCAGCCCCTTGCAGGTGGGCTTTGCTGCAGGAGGGGATGGACGGCGTGGGGAAGGATCTTGGCCCCACACAGGTGGGCTCTGCCCCCGGAGGGGCTGATGGAGAGGGCTGGACTGGGCTGGGCTGGCTGCCCAGTGCTGGTGGGAGGAGGAGGCAGGGCTGAGGCAGCTGCTGCTGCCCTCCTTTTGCTTGACTAAACCTCACTGCCTGGACAGCTTCTGACTGGCGCTGGTGGGAGGGCTGCAGGCTGGACGGGCTGTGGTTTTCCCTCCAATGTGCCCCAGCAGGGCAGGAGGGTTTGCTCAGCGCCGGCGGGCAGGGGTGGCACCTGCCCCTGGAGCAGCGCAGTGGCCTTGTCCTCACGTCACCTACAGCATCCCACCCCAAGGTGGGATGTGGTAGCAGGCAGGGAGCCCTGTGAGGACTGGGCAGCTCAGTGTCCTCGTGCCCTGCAGACAGGGGGGACGTGTCACATGTCCCCACAGCATCCCTGTCCCATGGTCTGTGCACGCTGATCAGGCTGACAGTGAGGCCCTGCTGGATTCTACCCCGTGTTTTCCATTCCTCACTGTGTTTTCCTGTGTCTGAGAGGCTTTAGACGTGGATCTGAGATATTTTTTTCCCAGCATTTCTGATTTTTTAACTAGCTGTGACTAACCAGGCTGGCACGGCAGGCTGTGACCAACCACCAACGTGCTACCTGTGCGCTTATAAATAGGGTCTGTTCTGCACACCCCCGTTTGGAGCGTTCCTGGGCTCCTGAGCCCCTCTGCGACACCAGCCCAGCTTTTCCCAGCCTCTCCCCCGCTGCTGCCAGAGCCCAACATCCCCCAGCTCCTGGCAGGAGTCTCCCAGAGAGGCAGTGCCCCCCGGTTCCTGCCCGGAGGCTGCGGGGACGGGGCTCGGTGCCGTGGCTGGACCTGCTGAGCTCCAGGATGTGGCTCCAAGCACATCGTGGTGGTGGCAGTGCCTTTGAAAGGGTTGGGTCCCTCATGCCAAGGCAGAGATGGGCCAAGTGCTGTGCTGGGCTGTGTGGCGTGGCTGTCCCTGCCCTGGGCCCCGGCGCTCCGAGCCAGGAAAAATCCCCTTCCCATGAGCACTTCCTCATGGAGCTGAGCTCTCTGGGGACTCCAGACTGTGGGGCAAGGGCTGGAAACGCCAGGGTTTTGGCTCAGATTCTTCCCTTAGTGGCTTCCTTGGGATGCTGGAGGGGTGGTCCCTTCCCTGGGCTCCGTCAGCCGGATTTGCTCCGACGTGGCTCGTGGTGGGAGCTGCTGTCAGGAGGCTCCGGCCTCCCGCCGGCGAGTGTGTGGTGAGCATGACTGCACTGATGGCAGGAGATGAGGGCACTGATCAGCTGCCTGGGAAAACTGCACCGAGTGCATCCAGAGGAGCCGCAGGGCAGGCTCTGGCAGGAGTGTCCCCCTCTGCCCTCTGCCTGCCCTGCCACGGGGGGTCTGCACCCCCTCCCTCAACCTTCCTGCCCGTGGACTTGTTGAGGCTTGATCAGATGCTAGGAAAAAATTCTCTAACGTAAGGGTGGGCAGGCCCTGGCACAGGTTGCCCAGAGAAGCTGTGGCTGCCCCTGGATCCCTGGAAGATCAACCTGGGCTAGTGGAAGGTGTCCCTGTGCCTCTCTGCCCTCCCTCCCCTGCTCTGGGTGAAGAGGAACCATCGATTTGGTGTCTTGAGGGGGCAGTTTATCCCCTTCCTGATGCCTGACAGATTGGAATTGATTTCCAGAGCAATTTGCCTGAACTGCTCAAGGTGGGAGCGCTGGGGATGTGGACTGTGACCATCTCCTGTGGTGGGGATGGTGGTGTCCCTGGGGCTGATCCCAAAGTGTGGCACTGGTCGGTGCTAGGAATCCTCCTGGGAGACCTGCAGGGCAGGGTGGGGTCTCTGAGCACCAAAATTCCACCCCCTTCCAGGGGAAGGGGGGATGGAGACGGCAACTCTGGGGTTCTGGGTGTCCAGCTCCTGCTGCTGCCTTGGGCTCATCCCAAAGGCTTCTCCCACCAGGCTGAGGATCAGGGGGGACCTGGCTCACAGGGAGACTTGGCTGTGCTTCACCACACGACTGCGGGTGAGTCAGTGCCCCACGTCCACACACGCCCTGCAGGGAGGCAGCCACACGACAGCGGGAGCCAGCAGGGGCTGCCAAAATCCCGGGAAAGCTCCTGGTCCCTCTGGGACGTGTTCAGTGCTGACGGTGATTCCCCTCTGCTCCCACCCTGGGTTTGACCCCCTCCCCTCTCAGCACCCCCCCCTGCAGCTGCACCCGTGCTCTCTGCATGTGCCTCCCTCCGCTGCCTCAGCTTCCCTCTCCTTTCCAGGGTCCAGGGGGACCCCCGGGCTTGGAGCTGGTGCCACCTAGGCTATTCCCATCCCATTCCATTCCATTCCATCCCGTGCCAGGCCATGCCAAGCCCCGGCTGTGCCTCTCAGGATCACGGCAGCAGCGTGGGTGGGAGCTGAGCCCACAGCGTGGCCCGTGCTGGAGCCGTGATGAGCCTGGCCCCGGCCACCCTCCCCTCTCCTTTATTTTTATCTGGCTGTTGGCACCTCCCCAGCCGCTGTGCCTTCCCTGCCAGCTGAGGATGCTGCCGCCTCTTGCCAGGGCACGCAGGGCTCCGTCCCGCTCCGGTCCCTGTGCTCAGAGGGTGCCGCCAGCTCGGCCTCCTGCCAGGGGTCTGGGAGGAAGCTGATGGCAGCGGGAAGGTTTTCCTCAGCCGTCCTTCCCACGCCGTCTCTCCTCCTGTCCCGCTTGTTTTCCCTTGGGCTGACTGAGGGCAGCTCCTTCCCTCGTTCCGAGCTCCGAGCGAGCATCCAGGTGTGCCGGCCCTTCCCTTGGCACTGCCATCCCCGGGAGGGGGGAGGTGAACTCGTCCCCCGTCTCCATGTGCAGGCATGGGCGCGATAACACCCGGCGAGGTGGGAAGTGGCTGCTGCTTTTTCCAGGGCCGGCCAGATGGGACTTCTCCTTCGGTTTGGGTTTTGACAAATGACATGCGAGTTTATCCGGTGGTTTCTGCACTTCCAAAGGGAAGGAGCTGCCTGTCAGGGCAGCGCCGTGGAGAGGTGCCAGCTGGACTTCTCCGAGCTCCAGCTGGGAGCAGCCGGTGTGCACCGGGACACGGAGTGGCTCTGGACTCCTCGTCCCTTGTGCAGCTCCAGCGGCAGCAGGGCTGGGATTGGTGGGATGCACGGAGGGTGCAGGCAGCATTCAGGGCACGTAGATGCTGGGAACAGGCGGGATCACACCCGGAACTGCCACCGTGCTCGGGCACTGTGCCCCTGCCCTTGCCCAGAAGCCAAGTGGCATCCTGGCTCCGGGGCCGTGGGGTCTGCGCTAACCCAGCTGGGAAGTTCCTGAGGAAACAGTCGGGGTGTGTTTTATTTTCCTTGGTTCCACTTGAATTCGGGAGTGAAAGGCACAGCGGGGAGCCCGCTGCCTGCTGCTGAGCCCAGGCAGAGCCGTGGGATCCTCAGGGATGGGGAGAGGAGATGGGAGAGTCACTGCTCCACCATCCCATGGGGCTGCTGGGCACGGGGGAGATTTGTCCTGGGATGGGTGTTAACGGTTCCTTATGCGTGGTCTTGGAATCACCTGGGTTTTCCCAGGAGGTTTGGTGGAGGGTGCCCATCAGCCCAGGAGCAAGAGGATGGTGGGAAAGCTTCAGCCCTGTCGCCTTCAGCTTTCACTCCCATGCTGGGGTGGACCCTGGGTATGTCCAGCTCCTGGCATTCCCGTGGGACAGGGGGCATCCACAGCTCGTGGGCTCGACCAAAACCAGGGGTTTTGTTCTCTGAGGGTTGATTTTTAAGTGACCGGGTCTGGTGGTGGCCGGACCCGCTCGGCACATGGCAGTGACACGGGTGGAGGGCACTTGTGTGTCCCCTGGTGTGTGGGCTGCCTCATCCCTGCTCCTGGGCACGGCTTCAGTTGGATAACCACGGGCAGCTGGGCAGCTCCCAGCACTCTTTGGATGTGGCTGTGAGGGTGAGCCTGGGGCAGGGCCTAGAGGGCACTTGACCGTCCCAAAATGAGTGCAGACAGAGCATGGCTGAGCCAGGGACAGGGACAGCAGTGCCTCAGAAGGTGCCTCCGAGCAACCTCATCTAGTGGCAGGTCCCTGCCCACGGCAGGGTTTGGAACTTTAAGGTGCCTTCCAAAGCAAACCATTCCAGCATTCTGTGATTTTATCCCCTCGAGTCCCGGCTCGGGAAGGGGTGGGCATTTCTGCAGCGCAACATGAGTTAAGCGCAGCGGCACGGGGAGCCTCTCAGGCTCTCCCTGCGCTTCCCATCCACCCCTCCCATCCCCGGGAGCCTGGCTGTGGTGTGGCAAGGAAGGGGTTAGTGCCGAGCAGGGCTCTGGGTGCTGGGCAGCCTCCGTGGGTGCTGAGCAGGCAGCGCTGGCAGTGCGGCAGTGCAGCCTTTGGGAGGAAGCAAGTGCATCCCGCTCTTCCGGCTGCCTTAATGGCCGGGTGCGGGGGAGCCGCATCGCTCCGAGGGGCTTCCATTCTCTCGCCTGCCTCTCTCCCCAAATGCACTCTCCGCTCCCCCTCCCCTCGCCCCTTTTTGTGCGAACGCTCTCTCGGCCGATTTTTCACGCTCCGCTAACTGCCGGCGCTTCCGCGACCCGCGTGAGCTTTGCTGCCTCATGAAGATTTATGAAACTGCAGTAATAAACTGTGTTTGAGAGAGATTCTTTTGATGATAAAGCCCTGCCAGGCTGCTGGCGGGGGGACCCGAGCGCTCCGCGCCGCCGAGCCCGCAGCCGCTCCGGCCCGGCGCGGCTCCCGCGGGGCAGCGCCCGCAGCGCCGGGAAGGCTTTTGGGGGCCTTTCCCACCCTGAAGAGCATCACCTAAAGTGTGGTCAGGCTCTGGTGAGCCCGGTGCCTCTGTTCTCCTGGGAAGCAGGCGATGGCCGGACCCTGCTAGCGGCGCGGGGCTGTGCCCCGGCGCAGGTGACACCTCTTGCTGGCAGGTGAGGAAGATGGATGGATGAATCGGCAAAGAGAACCGCGTTCCCTTAACCTCCCGCTGCTCGGAGAGGGGCTGGCCAGGATTTACCGTGGGATTTTGGCTGTCGTGGGAGCCCTGCGCTCGGCCAAGGAGCCGCCTGCAGCCCCCGCGGAGCCCCGGGGGGCTGCTGTGCCCATCCCGCCGGAGCAGCTTCCCGGCCGCCGTGGGAGCCGAGCTGCGCCCGCGGGTAAGCAATGGGACGGTCCCCTGGGGGGGGACACATCCCACAGGGATGCCCTGCTGGGCTGGGCTGGGGCACTGCCGAGGTGGGCACCCTGTGCAGGCTCCGGCCACCCGCTCTCCCACCCCAGTGACCTACTTGGAAGCAGCCTCGGGAAGCACTTTCCAGGGATGTGCTGCTGCTGCTGCTGCTGCTGCTGCTGTCGTGGGCAGCCCGTGTGTGGGTACCACTGCTCAGGCATCCCTGCGCCCTGGGGAGGAGGAGAAACAACTTTGTGGGGGGATTTTGGAATTGTCCCCGTGGGGTGAGTCCACGAGGGAAGGATTAGCACCCTTTTCTCATGGCTAGTGCCGGGGAATCACAGCTGCGAGTGTTTTAAGGTCCCTTTCCCAAAGAGCCACCCCCGTATCCCGGCTGGTGGTTGTTTCCTTGTCCGACCGTCCCTGCCCGCTCCGGGTGGGATATCCGGTGGGAGAAGGTGGCTGGCATGAGGACAGTACATGAGGACAGTACACGTGTCTGCGGTGGCTTCCCCTCCTCTTGCCTTGGAGGGGTTCTGGGATCACGGGGTTCATGGTGTCGGGGCTGGCTCTCCCTGCTTGGTGCTGGGGATGGATGCGGGAGCGGATGCGGCGCAGCCGGGGGTGGAAGAGCCCCCGAGGGGCTCCAGCTTCGCCCTGACCCCTGTGCAGCTTGTACAGGGCTTTCCAAATCATCCTTTTTAGCAGTCGGCAGAGGAACAGCGAGAGCTGGTGCGTTCCACTCCCGGAGCATGTAATTAGGGAGCGGGGAGCTGCATGCTGATCATGGCTCGGCAGCAGGAGGAGGAGGGCGGGAAGGAGCTGGAAATGCGGCCTCATCCCTGGGCTGCTCAACCCAGGGCTGGTGGAGGCACCTGGGAGGTGGTTGCAGGGAACAAGCCCCTCTCACACCCCCCAGATCCCCGTCCCTGCATCTTCCCCCGGCTCGAGGCCTCCTCGAGCCGCTCTCCCCAGCGAGGGAGAGGAGTTGCAGCTCCTTCCTCCCAGCCCTGTCACTGCTGCAGCTGGAGCTGTCAGGGTGGCCCTTCATCCGTCCCTCTTTCCCAGCCTTCCTGGATGCATCATTCCGATGGGATGGGACGAGGATGGGAGTCCCTGTGGTGCTCAGGATCCGGCTCTGCCGAGGGGCTGGTTTGGTGGGGGTGGGGGTCGCCGGTGCTGGGGGTCCCACTGCCCCAAACTGAGCTGAGAACACCCTGGCTGCTCCCAGGGGTGCTCCAGGGCACTGCCAGCGCCGGGGCTGGGCTGGGTGTTGGGTGTTTGCCCCCCAAACACGTCTCTGCTGCTCTGTGGTCACAGAACAAGTCTTTGAGTGACTGGACGAGAGGGGGAAAGAGTTTTGTACCTGATATCAGCAACCCCCAGGGAGGAAAATGCGTTGGGGGGCTCTTACATGAGGGGAGAATGAGCAAGCAGCTCCTGGGTCTGGGTTGGGGTGTTCAGGACAAATTCCTCCACCTGTGTTTCCCGTCAGTGCCGGGTTTGGCAGTGGCTCCGCAGCCGGTGGGACCCCAGGGTGATACCCTCACCCCTCTCTCCCTGCTACCAGCAGCGGGATCGAGGTATCCCCTCTACCATCTCCCTGTGCTGCTTTCCCTGGGGGAACTCGGGATGTTTTGGGTGCTGTGGATGTGCCCCTGTGACCCTCCCTGTGACACGGGGACCCGGCGGGGCGAGCTGGGGAGGGACGGGAGCTGCAGCTCTTCCCCTGTCTCCTGGGAAAGGGGGTGACAGCCCGGCCAAGGTCGTGTTCGGTGACAGGACGGCAGCTGGACGGGTTGATTTTTGGAGGAGGAAATGGGAATCAGGCTTTGGGATGTCCCCGTGGCATTTGCCGAGCACGTGATGTCCCCGCTTGGCTCGTAGCAAAGCCCCCTGCACGACCTTGAGCGGAGGAATTGTGTCCGTAGCACACGCTGGAGTCCCATCCTGCATTAATAACACCCATACAGAGCTAATATGTTGGGCTGATAAATAATTAAGGGAGAAGGAAAAAACCCTCTATGGTTTGCTTAACAGGAGCTCGGGAAGGAAGGGAGTGGGGCGGGGGGGAAAAAGGACGAGGAGGGAGATGAATAATGGATCAAGGTTAAAAAGGGGAGCGAAAGGGGAGCCTGAGCCCACTGGAGCCCTGCAGCACACGCTGCCAGACCGGTTAGAGGTGGCAAAGACAGCTCGTGGCCTCAGAGCAGGCACAGCAGCAGCTGGGACCAGCCCAGGGCTGGGTGACACCGGCTCTGATGACATGAGACCGCTCAACAGTGGCTTTTGGAGTGGGGGAGGGTGCCCTGGAGCTGCCCTGCAGCGGGCAGGGGGCTGGGCAGGGGCTGAGGGCTGCGGGGTGGCCTCGTCCCGCAGTCGCTGAGGAGGTGCCAAGCGCTGGCAGCGTGTGGGGACTTCCAGGCATTCAGCACCACTGAGCTTCCCTGGAAATCAGAGTCACAGCGTGCAGGGAATGAATTATTAGCAAAAGGGACAAGTCCCTTTTGCCTCGCTGCACGTGTGACCCCCTGCCTGCCCCTCTGCCGCCTCCCTGCCTGCCCCTCTGCCCCCTCCCTGCCTGCCCCCCTGCCCGGGATGGGCTGAGCTCCAGGAGAGGGCTGGGATGGGGCTGAGCATCCCTGCAATGCCGGCTTTGGTGCCGTGGGCTGGGCTGGTCTCCGGGAGAAGCAGCTGCAGGACAGGGGGCTGAGCTCTCTGATGGGGTCTCTGGCAGGACATGGGGGGGCCTGGCCCCCCCTGGCACAGTGCCCACCCTGATGGGCAGACACGAACCTCCCCTCCCTCTCCCCCAGCCTGATTTAATTTTCTTTTTGGTTTGTCCTGTGTCGTGTCCTCTGTCTGTGTGTGCCTCGGAGCAGTGCTCAGTACCCGTGTCTTGTCTGTGCTGTTTTATTCCTGTTTCGGTCTGAACTCTGTGGTTTTGGTGGCATCCCAGCCCTTACATCCCCCCCTCTGCCCCAGCCCCTCCACCCTCCTTGCCCCCTGCCCCTCCTGCCACCGCCAGCCCCGTGTCCCGGAGCGGGGACACCGCTGCCACCGCAGAGGGACAAACCCCTCACCCCCTCCCCGTGCACCCCCCCTGAGGGGCGACCCCGCTCCCAGCCATCACCCTTAGCCTAAACAAACCCTCCCCGCCCCCAAATCCGCACCCCGTGGCAGGGGGGGCCGGCCCTGACCCCGCTGTGCTCTGCCCACCCCGCGCAGATCCCGAAAGGACGAGCAGCCACATGATCTCCGCCGACGATGCCGAGTACCCGCGCGAGTACCGGACCCTGGGCAACGGCACCCGGCGCTTCTCCAACGTAGGGCTGGTGCACACCTCGGAGCGCCGGCACACCGTCATCGCCGCCCAGAGCCTGGAGGCCCTCACCGGCCTCCAGAAGACGGAGATGGAGCGCAAGAGGGACGCCTTCATGGACCACCTGAAGAGCAAGTACCCGCAGCACGCGCTGGCGCTGCGGGGGCAGCAGGAGAGGATGCGCGACCAGGTAAGGGGCGGCCCCTCGGGGCACGGGGTGGGGGGCACGGGGAAACCTTTGGGGGTGTCTCTGGAGGGGAAGGGGCTCGTGGGGGGGTTTGGATGGTGCATGGAATGGGGGCGTGGGGTGGTTGTAGCAGCGCTCAGGGACGAGGGGGAGCATCCCCCAGAGGTGTGAGGATGAGCACCCCCCAGGTGTGAGGATGAGCACCCCCCAGGTGTGAGGAAGAGCATCCTCCATCCCCTCTCTTCCCAGGATTTATCCTGCAGGCCCCAACTTTCAGAGGCCGTGAGAGGCTGTGGCTCTGCCCCAGCACACGTGGGATGTGGATGGGTGAGGTGTGCTGGGGGTTGGCACCGTGCCCGTGCCAGGACAGCCTCTGGTTGTGTTCCCCAGGGACCAGCTGGTCCTCGGAGCAGGTGACACGTCTGGGAGCCCTTCTGAAAGCAGCAGAGCCCGAGGGATGAACTGTCCCTAGGGCTGGGCAGCAGCTGGGGGTGCTGGGGAGCCCAAATCCCCCTTGCCTGGGTAGCAGTGATGCTGTTGGGTGATAAATCCCCACCTAAACCAGGCCCCTGGGAGGGTGAACTCGGAGCATCCAGAGGGAGTGGCTGAGAGGAAACCTCAGATCATCTCCAGTAGACCCCGAGGGAGGGAGGCGACGGCTCCCAGACCTGGCACAGCGGAAAGAAATCCAGCTGTGTCAGGAAAATCAGCAGCAGCCGCGGCCTGGCTGCCTCCTCGGAGCTGTCACCTGCCTGCCACTGTCCCCCACACCCCCAAACAGCCAGACTTTGGCTGAGGGACGATTATTGATCAGCCACACACAGGGCACAGTCCATTTCTGCCTCTTATGAGGTGGGCCAGGGATGTTTCCAGGCACAGAGTGGTACTTCCCACTCAATAAATAGGATTTTTTTTTCCCACCCTATTATTACAGCAGTTTAAGGACTTTTCCTTTTTTTTTAAATAAGCGGCAGCTACGAAAAAAAATCCAGCTTGTGTTGGCTCAGGGCCTGATAAGCTGCAGAGGATTTTTATAAGGTGAAAGAAAGATGATCTGGATTCTGGAATTATCTGCTTTATTTCTGAACCAGTGGGATGGTGGGGGGTGTCTGGGCATCCATTGGCTCTGGGTAAACCCAGCCAGGATTTTTGGGTCCCATCACTCCCCACCACAAGCATCAACTATTTGCAGCAGGTGCAGAAATCAGAAACCCCCCCAAATCCTACAAAATCCTATTTTTCTTCTTTTTTTTTTTTTGACTCTCTTTTTTCCCTTTTTTTCTTCATTCCCCCCCTCCCCCCCTGGCAGTAAATAATAATAACAGGGAGAAATGAGCCTAGAAACCCTGGAAACCTCAGGTGCCAACCTTTAAATGACATTGGGATACAGCACTGGGTCTGCCTGAAACGTCTGAAACTTGCTTTGCTATTCCAGAGGAGCCTGGAAGGCGTTTCAGATCCCAGGCTTTGCTGTTTTATTGGCATATTTTTTAAGACAAAATTACATATAAGAGAGTTTGTAACATCAGAGGTGAACAGCAACATTCCACAAATGTCAACATCCCTTTCAGGCTGGCAGAGCCTGCAGCAAAAAGCCCTTTGGATTCGTGCACAGGAATGGGAAAAAAGGGAGAGAAATGCTCCTTTTAATCTTGTGTGTTTAAAACAGAGCAGGGGAAAAGGAAAAAAAAAAAAATCCAGGGAAATAGTTGTACCAACACCCATCAGACTGGGGGCAAATCCGAGGGGGCAGCCTGGTGGTTTAAAATCCAGATGGGAGAAGGTGTTGAATGGGAATATTAATGATAAAGAGAGGAATGGGGATGGGATGGGGATGAGGGGCTGCTGGAGCATTGTTGGCTGTGGGAACTGAGGGAACTGGCGGGAAAATCCTGCCCTGGGAAGGGTAAATCCAGCAGGAGGGGGATGGAAGTAGATGGTCTTTAAGGTCCCTTCCAACCCACGCTGTTCTGTGATTCCGTGGCTGATGCTCTGGGAGATGGGATCCGTCCATTCCTGGTGCCTGATGTTGGGTGGATAGAGAGTTAGGAACTGCTGGAAAAATAAGGAATAGTTTGGAAAATAATATTATGGGCCCACCCCTGGTTCTGATATTGCTGTTGCTTCTGGAAGTGCTTTTCCCATGCGGGGGGAAATCCAGGACCCAGGAACGTGTGGCTTTATGCAGATGGATTATAAATCCCAGGAAAAAAAAAAAAAGGGATTACAGCCCCATCTCTTGTCTGTAACCTGTTAAAAGCTGTGTTGTGATTAGACCTCATCCTCTGGGAGCCCTGCAGGGTGGGGTTGAGCCCCTGGGGCTGAGCTGGAGCCGAGGTGTCCCTCGCTCTGCTCCCAGAAAAA